GTTGCCATGTGGGAGCCAAAAATACACATACACGTACAGACATACACATGCACCTACACATACACATGCTTATACGTATTATATATACATATGTACACACATACATGCATAAGTACATACATACATACATACATACATACATACATACATACATACGTACATACATACATACATACATACATACGTACATATGTACATACATGCGTACTTACATACATACATACATACATACATACATACATACATACATCCATACATCTATACATACATGCATGCATGCATACATACATACATATAGAGATATTTGTTTACTTACTTGTTTCTATGTCTTCATAGTTCCGAACTCTCAATGGCAATCTGTTAAGCTGCACTATGGCATGATACAACATTCCGCCCCGCATTATGGTCACCTTGCGACGGAACTCAAGCAAGGCTCCTGCTGTGGGGCCGGGAAGGCAGCGCCGAGAGGGTCTCGGGGTGCAGGGACACGACAAGAACTTGTGAAACCACCAAGACTTTTGGCTTGTGCTACAGGGTTCTGAGTAGCTGGAGAGGACGGCAGCAATGGGAAGAGGGTAGGAAGAGTGCGTGCATTATGGGGTGATACGAGTTCACTTTCACTTCAACCAAGCCACTAAGTGTAAATGGCCACTAGGCAAGATGGCTCGGCGTTGACTTTCGCCAAGCCGACTGCGCGAACCTCCACTGCAGGCAACACCCGCCTAATCATGCCTAATCATGCCGGGGCGATGGGTTCGTATCCAAACTACACGGCCTTTCGCAGCGACGTTGCCTTGCAGTCGTTCCGATGGCCAGCTTGTAAGGATCAGGCACAATAAGTTTCGTTGGTGCGGGCCCGGAACCATGCACGTGCTGTGAGAGTTTCGGAGTACGGAGCCTACCAGTCCTACGCCTGCGAGCCTTCAAGCCAGCACAACGTTCGTTCTCTAGACGCGTTTCTCCTATCAAGATTCCCAAGTGGCTGCTCACAGGCGCACCCCGCCGTCCGATTCTCAAGCTGAGCTCCGACTCTGCCAGCAGCGAGGACGGCAAGGCGTCGTGATGTTGGACATTGCACTGAAAATTCCTCGCTCTATGAATAGGACCACAGTTCTCAAAAGTCAGTCCGGTAATTGCGACTTGGGTAGCGGGCCTTCAAGCTTTTGTGGCTCAACGTCAACCTTGCTGCGAAACCTTGCGCTGGACACTCACTCTATTCTGGCGGTGCATGCCTTCGTTTCACGCTAAAACATTTCTGGCCTAGGACTTGTGACAGATACCTATATGCGAGCGCAAGACCAGCTGTGTCAGCCCCCAGATTTCGCAACTGCGATCGGCCTTCATACTGTCTGCCTCACAATACCGAGCAGAGCAATGATGTCCACGCTCGCCATGAACTTGCGCTTGCTGCGGGCATGTGGGGCCCCGGTCATGGCACTGGGGCTCCGCCATTTCTCAAGCTTGCGTGTCGCATCCTGCGACCTCCAGCGTGGCTCTGTCTTCCTCCAAAAGGGTATCTATTGCGAGGTGCGCAGTTCGAAGCCTGCTGGCCATGGACGCTCAGCTGACGGAGCCTACGAGATTCGTTACCGGGAGCTCCGAACGCGCAAAGCACGGGAGATGAAGATGAAAGAGACGGAAACGCTGCAGGTTGTGGAATGCGAGCGGGTGTCAATGCCAGTAATGTATAAAGATGACACGAGGCTTGTTTTGGCAGATTCCGACTACAATGAGGTCGAGGTGGCGATGGAGCAGCTTGGCGAGGCAGGCGAAGTGCTCCAATGTGGGCACACCGTCTCAGTGCTATATCACGAGGGAAACCTCGTGAAGGTTGTCCCACCACCACAGATCGCAGACCAGCTGCAGCAAGACTTCCGGAAGCAGCGGCGCGCGAAGCTTGCTTCCAGGCAGAAGGAGAGAAAGGAACTGAGGGAGAAGAGAGCCCACATGGCTGAGGAGAAGGGTGGCTAGCCCGGGCAAAAGATGCTTTGCTTTTTCCGCCCTGAAATCTCTGCGTCCCAGGGTACATAAAGTCATCGTAGCACCATGGAGTCAGGATAAAGCTAAAGACGACAAGAAGCCCCCGTCGGGTGCTGAGCTCCTTGTCGCATGGCACGAGCTGCAGACATGTTGTGGGCGTGGACACGTGGATGGCTGGCCGTGGCTGCTGTAACAAGGCCAAAGCGCAAGCGGAAAGGCTCCGACTCTGACGAACAATCAGGCCGGACCCAACGCGTGTTGTACATTTCGCAGAATGTGTGAACGCAGACACATGTAGTGTGAATGAGTGAAGGCCAGCGAGTGTCGAGGCTCTCGCGGCACACCCGAGTGGCACACTTAGCTTCAGGTCTTTTCAGCTTGCTACCTCTCCGTGCTTGCCGAGCCAATTCGTGAGCAACTCCTAAGGTTCGGGCGTCCTGCATGCAGGAGGTTGGATAGGGGGTACTGGTGACATTGCGGGGCATGGTGGGTGTTAGCGGCCAGCAGTGGTGGTAAAGATGAAAGTTGTTCCCACCGGCTGAGTCGTGCTGCGTCTTGCAGGACTAAGTCGACGCTGCAGGACCAGTGAGTCCGAAGACAATGCGCGTTGTGTTTAGCGGTGTGCGCCAGGCTCCCGAGGCCCACATGCATAAAAATGTCACCAAAGCATAGATACGCAACGCGGCATTGCTTAGAATGCTGGTGTGCAACCAGGTGCACTCGGGACGAGTAGTACCAAACGTAAAACGGTTTCAAGGCCTATCGCAGGCCCGACGTGTACAAAGTCATCGAGGGGGGTGGAGATGAAGTTTTATTGGAGTCCTGCGTTCCAGGCGCTCGGCTCGTGATCATGCGGACCAAGCCAGAAGGGCTTCCAACAGATTGAAGACCTGTTGCTGTTGCACGTCCTTTTGGTGCTCTTCGTGGCTCATGGTTTGTTCTCTTAACCTGTGTGCGCGGACTGCAAGAAGTATGCCGCGATGCCCACGGCTCAAGCTGTACAGCGTGCAGGCAGCATTCATGCACAGGATCCAAGACATGAAGGCAAGTATATAGGTACAGGCAATCTGAAGGACCAGCAAATTGAACTGGGGCCATGAAGTCCAAGCGACGGCTCCAGCAGAAAAGAGTCCAGCCCCAGCTTGACATAGGCAGGAATAGCTCAAGGCTAGCTCGTGTTGCCGTTCGTGCCGATCCACCACCTCCTCACAGGCCATGCCCGCATTGACCGTCCGCTCGACTGTCCTTTTCAGCCGTTGATGCCCGACTTGCTTTGGTGCCGCCAACATCGTGTGGTGCCGTCCGGATGAGAAGGTTTAAAGGGTTTCGTCCCATTGTGCCAACCGCCAGATAGGCATCCAATTCCAGACAAATTCGTCAGGCATGTCCGAAGCCGCGCACATCGCAGTGCGAATCAAGGCCAGTCGGGAGATTTACTCTTCGCCCTGTCTTCGCCCTTCCCCAGATCCGTGGATCACGGCAGGGCCTGATACTTGTGGCACTCGAGGCGCACACCAAGATTGGCTACGGGGAAGACCTATTGGCCGTTTGCCCAGTATTGACAGTGCAGTCCGGGCCAGACCCTGTGTGGCCCGATCTGGATTCTGTGTCCTTAAAGAACCTTGTTGCACCCATCACCTGAATCCATACTTACCTTGTGCGAGTGTGCAAGTCAAAAGCCCCAAACCTTCGCAAGACCTTCTCTTGCCATGCCAGCCTTGTGCGAGTGTGTGAGTCGAAACCTTCGCAAGCCCCGGCCGATCGCGGTCGGCTGTGAGGTGTGCGGCTCCGCACCTGCCTTGGGCAGTTGGAACCTGGCAGATGCAGCCCTGATGCAGTGCAAGGCACCACCGGGAGGAAGACTGTCTCAAGGTGAGGCTCGAGGCTCAAAGTCGTGAGGCATTTGCAGAAATCAGACAAACTTGGCTGGTTGTTCCCAACATCACGATGTGCCTTGAAGGCTCTCTGTGAGCATTTGACTAGCCCTTGGCCAACGCTCACACACTCCACACCGCAACATACCCCAGAAGTCTGGCAGCAGGGGGACTCGTGGACCTTGACCACGGAGCTGCCATGTGGGGTGCGTGCGCAGCCCTCGGCTGATGGGAGTCATCGCATCCTGCTCCTTCTAGAGTCTTAGATCTTAGCTATCAGGATCTGTCGAAGGTTTGGTCCACGTTTTGGTCCATTTGCACCAGGATCTGTAGAAGCGAAGAGAGATCTCTGTGGACCAAGACCAAGACGTGCCTTTCTTTGGCCCAAGAGTGTTGTCGACCAGAAAACCAGAACATACGACATCAAGCGCCCTATCGTCATTGAAAACAAAGAAGCATGCGACACGATGGTAGAAACATTTGCCAAGTTAAGCAAGCAGATTCAAAAAACAGCACTCGCTGGCAAACGTGTCTAGGTCCCGGCCGCATGTCCCCGGAAATCCGAAGCTCATGGACCAGTGCAAGTATGACTTTGAGGAGGAAGCGGCTCGCCCGATCAATGCGGCCATCGGCTTCATCCTGGTCACGGGCACAGCCATTAGCATAATTCCCGCACATGTGAAAATTTGGTCAAAACGCAGCTGCGAGGGCGTTTCTCAGGCCACCATCTTGCTGACAAATGCAGCCTATACTTGCCTTGCTTGGAATATGATGATGCTAAAGTTTCCGCAAATAGAGTCTTGCAGATCGAATTGGTGGCTCTGTCAGGCCAATCTTTTAGCCTTCTACCAGGTTCTGGTTCAGTGGCTCTTATTCTTTCCTCTCTATGCCTGGTGCACGCATTTTGGAGAAGAAGGCCAAAAGCGCTGGTTTCGGAAGGCATGGATTGCTCAGGTAGGAATGTTGCTTTGCGGCACCGGGGGCCTGATTCTCTGGTCCTTGCTCTCAGATTGCTCCTGGACCGTACGGCTTGTTGCAAGTGGCTTGGGATACATCTCTGCTTTTCTGAATGGCGTGCGGCAGATCCCACAGATTCGGACGTCCCTCTCTGTGAAGGGCTCCGGCAGTATCAGCTACACCTTCTACGGCTTGATGGGTTTGGGGGGCATCCTCAATCTCTACTTCCAGATTGACAGCTCAAGGGAGCGACTGACCACCGTCCTCTCGACAGCAGTTGGCTGTGCCATGTTCCTTGGTCGTGCTTCTATTCAGATAATAAGGCCCCTATATTAGTAGGAGGGCAATGGGCATGGCTTAATACTTGGAATTGATGTGCTGCTTGAAGTTCCAACCACCTGGACCCAGGATTCTGGTGGTGCTGGTGCTCTGTGCATACTATGACTGCCGCGCCGCCTGCTCTCGTTCTGAAGACTCGCTGAGAGGCCATACTGGTAGCCTCCTGTGAATCAGCTCTAGTCCAATCTGAGCGAAATGGGGCAACTTCAAGAGGGTCCACATCCGCTAGGCTCTGCACCTGCAAGAAGGACAGGTCAGCGAGCTTGGAAGCAGAACAGGCTAGGTGCGCAGTGCAGCAAAAAGCTGTTCCCAGCTGTCTGCTCGGCAAAGCTGTGCGATAGAGTTAACAGCTGTTGTTTGCTCCGTGGGTTTGTGGCGCGGATGCGTAGCCATGGACATGTAGGCGCGATTCCTTCTGATTGTCCTGCCTGCTGCTACGTGCCTTAGCATAGCGAGACCCATTGTGGCACGGGGGAGGGAGAGAGAGAGAGAGAGAGACATGTAGGCTTGCGGGTCTCCAGCACGTGCTCCCACAAATATGTAGCATGAACATGTGTGTATCTGTATATTCGCGCACACATAGTTGTAGAACTGCATGTGTACATTTACACACACCTGCCTGCCTGCCTGCCTGCCT